TCGTTCACCATTCCTGGCTGGTGGAACGATCTTCCCACCCCTATCCGGAATGCTGAATCCCTGACAATTTTCAAGCGATAGCTGAAAACTCATCTCTTTAAACGCTACTTGACTTCACCTTAAAAAAAATTTATTTATCCCTTCCCTTTTCTAGCTTGTACTTATTTGAACAATGCCTAAAACTTGGTATTTCAAGCACTTCCTGTGACTGTTTGCCTCTTTAAGAAGAATCGCTTTATGTATTCCCCAATTGTAAGTCGCTTCGGATAAAAGCATCGGCAAAATGACTAAATGTAAATGTAACATTTGAGTGAATAGTGAAAACACACATTAACCATATATATGAATAAATGAAGAGTTCATTTGCAAAAACAGGTAATCATGTTTTATATTGCGCATTCCAATTAAAATCAATCAAACTGCAGTTGGGTTATTTTGATTAGGTAAAAAAAATAACTAAAAGATACAGCTAACTAAAACAATAAAAACATGATAACAATAAAAAAAAAACATGATTTCTGAACATTTTAAAAAACGGAGTTATCGGTTTTTGCAAAAACTCACAACAAAGCCAATCTGACATGCTATCATATTATAATATCTATCATATCTTTATTAGCATACATATCATATCATCTAAAACTCTCTCTAAATGCTGTGTTGCAACAAAGTATGAAATTTTTAATGCATTAACATTATAGACGCATCGATTTCAAGCACATCAAAGATTTATGAAAAAATTGAAATTATGCTAAAATTGTACATATATGCCGTTTAAATAGGTTTAGATATAATAGATGTGATAATAAATATCGTCATTTTGGCTCAATTGTCACTGATTGAAATGTCAACTACCCAGATATCTTTATTAAAATCAATTATACATTAAAGGGTATATATTAGCTATATATTTAATCAGGTATATATTAAATTGTATTTTAAAAAATACGTTTTTAAAATGTTGACTATGCTTTCAAACAAAGAATAACCTAGAAAGATAATATCACACTATCAAGCTCCATTCACTCAGCATTATGCACTGAATATTGTAATGCATGAATTGACATCTATCCTCTTAATTAACTGAAATACATTTCACACAGAATTATAACTAACAAGTAATTAAACTCAAATACGCACTTATAATCAAGTGGATTCAGCAGTGGCAAAAGTAAACAGCCCAGAGACAGACAGTGGCTGACTTCCGGTTCATGGTGATTTATATAATAAAAGTCTCCAGATTTTGTGCTAAAAGTCCTCGTTTGATGGATCAGAAATCGCGATTTACGTATTCTTATCCAAATGACTAATTATTAATATTAATGTGACCTATAATAATAGGAATAATAATGTATTTTATTATATTATCTATATTATGAAATTATAAAAACGAGCAGTCCTGTAATTAATAACTGGTTGAGGAAATGTAAGCAGTGCTGGGAGAAGCGAGGCCAATGGAAACCCAGTAGGCTGAGGACATCTACTGGTTAAAGCCGTGTAAATGCAATGAGAACAGCAAAAATTTACGTACTTACCATTTTTATTCATTTGTAGTACTTATTCTGTGCACTAACATTTTGCAACAACACTTTTAAAGAGACAATAATGTTAACAACGTAATGATAAAGCTGACTCGTAATACATTTAGCCTCGAGATTAGTGACAACCATACATTTAGCCTGCTAACTTACTGGTTTGCGTTGATTTTTGCGTAACGTTACGCGTTAGAGGTGCTTTTTCACGTAACGTTACGCGAGAAGCGTACGCGGCTGCCGAATAATGTAGCGTGCGAAAACGAAAAAATAAATATATATATATATATATATATATTAATTTCTACATATAGTATGAAAACTAAAAATGTGCGTAAAATCCTTTCTTTGATTAGATTTTAATAAAGTAATCTCTGATTGGTTGGTACGTGACCACGTGGGTGCCGCTCGCGAGCGCGGCGTCTGTTCAGTTAAAAACGAACGCGGGGTTAACTTACTTGTCTAAAATACCTTATATTTATTTAGTTAAATTTACCATGCTAGACCAAATAAACGTTATGTGGTCAAGCGAAAACACATTTCCATGCAGATGGACCTGATTTTACCCGTAAATAGATATTAACTAATTATATTTTAGCATTAAAAACGTCGATGTTGATTCTGAGGTAAACAACAACAACAGCAGCAGCGGTAAAGTCGAGCTGAATGGCTGTTTTCGGCAGCTTGAGCTCTTACTGTTCTGTCGCTTTTCTGTTGTTTCAATGGTCTTTTTTGTTGAATCCAGGGTAACAGGAGGAACAGAAGGCGGAGTTTGCAAACTTTAACGGAGGAATGCTCGCTTTATACCTCCTACCAAGAGGGAGGAACCGTTAGACCCGCACCTGCAGCGGATCTGCCTGCGTTTAGTCTTTTAGATGAACGTGCTTTTGTTATGGTGTTGACAGACGCGTATGCTTTGGTTCCTGTGAGGTTATCTTGTGGTCTTGTATGATGTCAGACAGCTCCTGTGTGCCCGGGACCCCTCGGCGCCTGATGCCTCTGGCCCTCAGGGGAGAATGGACGGCACTGGAACAGAAGCTCAAGACGCTGGAGAAAGGAGATCCGGAGATCCTCCAGCTCGACGAGGTGAGATGCACGGACTGAAGGTGCTTTTTATTGCATGTTTAAAAGCAGAGTTCAGTTATGAAAAAAAAAAAAACATTGATGTTTGGATTCATCATAATTTATTATGACTGTATTATATAATATTTTAGAGTGCAGTATTATACGAACTAACGTTACACGGAGTAAAAAAATAAATATAAAAGAATTCAAATTTTACATTTTAAAAGTATTTAATTAAAAATGTTATTTTAATAATTTAAAATTAAACTAGATTAATTGAACTATATTAAATTAATAACGTTTATTGTGTGTGTGTGTGTGTGTGTGTGTGTGTGTGTGTGTGTGTGTGT